CTTGACAAGTTGGCAACACTGAAATAACAAGCAATCTTTATATAAATCCTAATGTTCCTTTCTTTGATGGCCATTATGAACGTTTTACTGATTCTAAAAAAACAAACAGATATCCACATTTCTTAAGCCATTTTGAGAATTACATACGAGCAGACAATATTTGAATTTGTCGCTATATATATATATATATATATATACATATATATATATATATATATATGTATAACTACAAATAAAGACACAATAAAAGTGAAGCAGGAACCAAAAATACTGTCATATCATTGTCTTGAGGATAGAACATCAGTTGCCCAGTATCTTCTTGGGTTGGTTGGTTGTATGTGGTGATTTGGTGATTTGGTGATATCATGATATGCGATGGCATGAATCTTGTAGAAATGATCGGGTAAAGCACCTTGGTCCTGGCCAGCAGAGGCGCTCCTCGTTCCAGCAGCAGCTCGACGGCTGTTTCATGTCCACTCCGAGCCGCACAGTGAAGGGGAGTCAGCCCATCCTGCAGGTAGCAGCACAGAGAAACGGACGAGTGGAATGATCACACAGATTCTAACTGAATACCATTCCCTGACCTAAAGAAGAGACTACATTAAGGTGGGTTCATGGAAACTCGTGAGACTAAGTCAGAGAGGATGTTGCTGTTTGTTGTCAGGCTCCAATAACACCCAAAAACCTGATGGTCAGCTACTTGGCACACAACCAAACAACAGGGCAGGAGCCAGGGAGTCCCTCATGACACCCATTTGAATTAAAAGATCAACTGATGCCACATCTGCTTGGACAGATGTGACACATTACAATGTGGGAGCTACAGCAAACACACGTGTTCTGTTTGTGTGTTTCTGTTAAGCGGGTCAGCTTTTATCCGACTGTAAAATCTGGTCTGAGAAAGTTTATTTTGTCGTACTCACTCGTGTTTTTGCGTCAATCTGAGATCCTCGATCCAACAACAGGCGAACCATGTTGGTGTTGCCCCGCTTTGAAGCCACATGTAGGGGCGTGATCCCATTCTGAAACAGAGAACACGTCCCATATTTCAATCAGAAATCACGTTACAAAGGCATCAGGCTAAGGAAATTCACAGATTGCATTAATTCTCCCTAAATGGTTTGAGCACAGATCAATGTGGTGGTCGACAAACGATAGCAAGAAAGAAGACATGAAGTTTCCAATACTGGAAAAGGAGGTTGAAAAGGTTTGGGAAATAAAGGAGGTAGTAGTACTAAAGGTTACATGGTCTACATGACATCACTCACAGTATGTCATGTCTACAAAATTTGCATATGTCAGCATGTGGGAATCAATTCTGAAGTTTTGCAATCTGAACCAACAAAACGCCAAACCATGTGCATTGTCCGCCAATGTTATATACTTTGGATTTTTAATCTGATCCCTTAACTTGGGAACTGATTTAAAATTATTGGCTCAGTAGAGGTTGGACTAATTTTTCAATAAATATTTAATTCACTTAAATGGATTATGATTGTTTTCAAATTATTGTGATTGACTTGATATGGACTTTACAATAAAACTGAACTGAATTCAAACTAATTGGAGTGAAATATTAGTATTAGTATAGAATCCCATAGTTCTAAAGGCTTTGTTGAACTCACAGAATAATTCATTAGCGTACAGCTTACCCTTGCAGTGAAATCTACCGCGGCCCCACGGTTAAGCAGGAGGGTCGCCACGTTAACGTTTCCATAGTGGGCAGCGATGTGCAGGGGGGTGAATCCACTCTGGAAAACAGACCGGAAAAGACAGACACGCAGACAGGACAGGACGGGTCACACATTAGTTGATCAGACACAGACGCATGTTTAAACTCTTCCCAGCATGCAGCATTCAGTCAGGCATCAACAATGAAAAGAAACTGTAAAAAAAAAAGAAAAAGGTCATGTCACTTAAAAAAGAAAGAAATGATTTAAAGAACGCAAGTCAGACTGCCTCAACATACAACCCTGAAACACACACACCACCTCCATGCAAGTCAAAAGTTACAGACACCAAAATAAATACATGGCTCTTAAACTCAATTCAAATGATAAAGATAAGAACAAAGTCAACAAGTAGACATACAGTCCACACAGACTGACATGAAAATGGATAAAACGATATCATCCACCCGAAACCATATAAGAATTTCAAATCAAAACTAAGAAAAAAGAATGTTTCCCATCAACACCAGAGAACAATGTCAAGTGGACATCCGTTATTCAAGCTAACGATGAGAAATATGAGGAAAGTTAGAGATTGCAGAGCATGTTGGAATAGTTGTGAAATTCTTGCCTTACCTTGCCATTCTGTAAGTGTGGGTCCGATTTAATGTGAAAAAGTTGTTTATAAAAGTGTGAAGAATACAGTGACCAACGTGATGACTTCAGAACTTTACACAGTCAAAAGCAGAGAATGGTGCAAATGAAGCTAGCGTGGATGCAACATGCTATTCCCAGCTAGATCAGTGACCCACACATATACACACATATACATCTGTGGTTTCCTATCATCTTATCAGGACCCAATAATCTTCTCATGCTTAGAGTGAACTGCCAGTCAAACTGGAGATTTTCCTAAAAGAGAAACTAACATGCATCTGAGAAACCTCAGTGTGGAGGCCTTTACATGCGAATGATCAGGGCTGCCAACATTAAAACTAAACAAGTCAGCTTGATCTGGTTCAATTTCCCATTTCCACGTCATACTGAAACTCTGCCTTTATGACCACATCTTACTTAAATCTAACGAGTTGCCTTTTTTCAGATGAATAAACATTGGATGTAAAACAACACCCAACTCTCCGAAACCCCTAAAGAATTCAGTTTTAAATTCAGATCAGAACTTACTAAGGAGTCCAGATTGCGTTTTCATTGCCCATTTGAAAGTAAAACTAAAAGCTCATTTTCTGTTTTTTTATTTTGGTGATGCTTCACAAAATCCTTTTCTCCAAAACTACTCCAGAGGGAAATAAATAATTTTGTAATTGTTAAAAGTTAAATGTTCACCCAGTCTGGTCCATATGATTGTAGCACAGGTTCACTTTGAATAATTGAAGCAATGATATCAATATTCCTGACACTAAGCATTGTTTTTAGTCCTTTCTGGACACAGGTTTCAATTGTACTGAAACATAATATGGCCTCCAAGAATAAAGCCAATTATCCTGGGGAAAGGATATATCGAGGATTTCCAATCATGAGATTTGCTGGGGTTCATCCAACAATTTCAAAGCTGTGAAACTCACAGGACGGCCACTGGGCCTCAGGAGGGTGAGAAGTCATGCCCTCAGTGTAAAAAAGACAGATTTTTTTATTGGAAATATCCTCGTTATGATCATTTTTAAAAATGTAATAGGAAAAAGTCACTATAAACTAGGCTGATTCTGATTTCCAGCAGTTGGTGCATTTCCTGTGTAAATATTTTTTGCTGAGTCATCATCTAACGGGCTTGTTTCATAGCAATATTTCAGTTTGCTGAACTATAGCTTCATTAATCCCAAACTCAACAGCAACCCAGGGTACATTTTAGATCAGTGAGAAGCAGCTACCTAATAAATGTAGTCTGTCAAACAGTTTTACGTTATTTGTCAAAACACTTTTTGTGTTTTGATTTAAACTATAGTGCACTAAAAAAAGTTTTGCTATCATTTTGGAGAGATTATATTAAATATTTTACCCCAGAACTTGGGTACATTGATAGAGAACAAAAATGTTTTTTAGTTTAATTTTGGCAGCTCTGTACATTCATTGACAAGCAGCAGTAATCCCTTATTTTCATTCAGCTATTCTCAGTGTGCTTAAATAGTTTAGAGTGCATCTCTTAAAATCATGCAACACCAACATATACGGACATTACAAGACACACACTTACAACGAACACATCAGCACATGTATCAGCTTAAACCTTACAGAAATAATAATAAATCATTCAGCTTAAATAAAGAAACTGTACATCTTAAATGGGATGTTTTTCAGAGACAATGCTAATTCAAATTAAAGAAATGATAAAGAAATAAAGAAAGCTTGTTTTTAAAGAAAGGTAAAAGAAACTTAAAGAATGAAAATACAGACTGGGGGTATAGAAAGAAAACCAAAGCAACGCGTGGCAGTAGCTGAAACAAACCCGTCAGCCATGCATGGTGGCCGCTGACCACACAACACAACACTGACCCGGTCAAACTGAGAGAAAACTCAAATGAACCAAAGGGGTAGCTGGTTTACACAATGCAGAGCTGTGGGAATGGAAGAAAAGGGGTGGAGAGAGGAGAGAGAGCACGCAGACACGGGTGTGAGGGTGAGTCTGGAGAATCGGAGGAGCGTGTGAATACCTCAGTAGTCCTATTGACCATCATCTGGTGCAGGTGGAATGAGGAGGGAAAGATCAGGTCAGTTAGGCTTATTAGACACATCACAGCCGAAAGAGAAACCAGGCCCACTTCATTCCATTTGAGCCCATCGATTATTTCCATTAACGATCATTTTAGTGTCAATTTAGCCTTTTTTTGTCTGTATCGTCATTTAGGTAAATGCCTCCCTGTCTAGGTATGGATCCATTTGAAGTTTTCTCCTGTTCCTCTCCACTCTGTTCGTGTTTAGGACAGGGTACTGAACCAACATGAATGTTAACTGCATTTCTGAAGAAAACAACAGTTTCATCAAGCAACATTTTACAAATAATACTAATGATCAATTGTATTGAATGGTATGGGACTTAATCAAAAGCAGTGATTCCTGCACTTACTTCTGTCATTTCATTACAGATGGTGTGAACCAAATAATTAATGTTTTGTTTAGCAGAATTTATTATGCATCAGTCTGTCTATTCTTACATTTCAGGACACTAACCCATTCCCAGAGATGAAGGGATATTTAGGGTTGGTAATGTGGTATCCAATAAAGAGAGACATTTCAAACAGAATGGAACAAAGATTCATTAAGAAATTAGTATCCTTTTTTTTTTTTGAGTAGCAAAGAGAAAACCACACAAAACTGTAAGCTGTTTGAATGTTTCCCCCTGTACAGAGCAAAATGCCAGCAGGCCATTTTTAGCTGTTTCCAGAATGTGGAGGATAACAGAGAAGCATGATTCTAATTCCTCAGACAGCTTTTCATCATTATCAGTAGCTGTTAGAAGCACATTTCCACTTCTGTGATGGCAGACATTTTCTCTAAGGTTTTACAGGAATATATGTCGCCTTCAAGGACACCTTTTATCCAGGGAAACTGGAATGTTGAATGTTGGAGAAGTACTTCAAATCTACTAAATCCACTCTGAATTTGTCCCCTACCTGAAGGGCTCAGTGGAAAAAGTTTTACATGATAACTTTCATATCATATCATAACGTAATTTACATAATGATACCACTCATAGTCCATTCTTTCTACAGTTTAATAGAAGAAAATGAATGTAATTCTATGTTTAAATGTACAACTTCCATATAATCTGTGGTCTTGGTGTTTTGCTTCAGTCCACATTGGTCACAAATATAAGAAAAATGTATCATTAGAACAGTTTTTTACAGTTTACAAGCAGATTCTGGTATTTCCATAGCAACAGTTTTTCCAGCGAAACCTGATTTTCTGAATTAAGACAAATGGACCATATCAGTTTGCATCACCACACTGCAAATTCTTCTTTGCCAACTACGCTGAACAACATGTACTTAACGTGCACATATGAGTGGGACTGTACTGGGCACTTAGCAGTTTATCTATATTTACATCGGGAGGCTTCCTTATGAGTCATACTGAGCATCACTACACCCCAGCAGCAAAAGCACATACGGCTTTTTTAGTAAACGCATAAGAATACACTTCAAACACTGCTGTGGTTTCTTACATAACAATAGAACTGCGGTTGAAATGTGAAATTGGGAAGTAATTGTGAAGTAAGAAATTGGAATTAAATGTCCTTTAGTTTGGCTATATCACCAAAGTCACAATCAAATGACCCACTTTTAGGATATTCTCTCATCAGCTAATAGGTTTCCACAATTTAAACTCTCCCATAATTCATTTGTGTTCAAAATAAGGGTTAAAAACAACTTGAGCATGCAGTCTTGAACATGATCCCCATACAACCTGCAGACAATGGCACAGTCCATGCAGTGCACTGTGCACAGCGAGGCGGGGGGGCAGTGGGAAAAGTAACGTTTAAAGAGAAGAGGGAGACACTCGGTTAGTGGCGGGGCCAGGAGTGAAGGGAGGGGAGGACTGAAGAGAAAAAAAAAGACTGATGGAGACACAAACACACATTTATACAGACTTATGGCAAAAGTACATCCCGGCAACTATGTGCTGTTTGACATAAACTAGCCATAACACATAATTCTGGTGACTAAACATACCTGATCTGACTAAGGTGTGGATGAAATTCTGTGATAAATGCTGTCGTAATTACACTGACTGTAGGAGATGCAGAGGAAAGCTCTGAACTGGTTTTTTATACCTGACTACAAACTTAGGCAATTATTCCATTGTTCCACATCGTCAGAAATATTGTCAACAAAAAAATATATTAAAAAAATAAAAATAAAAATAAATTAAAAAAAATAATAATAAAGAATAAAATAAATAAATAAATAAATAAATAAATAAATAAATAAATAAAAGAATAAAAGAAATGCAATAAAATAAATAAATAAATGAATAAATTAATACATAAATAAATAATAAAATAATAAAATAAAATAAAATAAAATAAAATAAAATAAAATAAAATAAAATAAAATAAAATAAAATAAATTAATTAAAAAAAAATATATATATATATTGTCAACTATGGGGCCACTAATGTTTCTGTGAATTAATAAAAGACGCACCCATCCAGTAAACACACACAGGGAAGGAAATAAATACATTTAATGTTCAGCAAGCCCATCATTAGATAGAACACTGAGGTGTTGTCATGTGGACAGGGTTCCAAAGAAGTCCTGTTTCAGTTGAAACACCATGGATTTGTTTTGTGTTTTTTTCCGGGTATTATGACATATGGTTCTCCAAAATATGTAACTTCAGCAGCCATGTGAACAATTGAAACCACAACTGCTGCACACAGTTTATCTGTTTTCATGGATTATGACATAGAAAAGTGCTTATAAATGATTTCATTATTCCCTGTTGATAGCAACATGTCCTCTTCAGGCTCTTTAGAGACCATTAATGGAGTAAAAATCATCCCTGATTTCATTACTACAACTCCTGTCCCACCCACATAAGCAGATATTATTCTAAAACATCAGCTTTAAGGGACTTGGAAGCTCTTGAACAACTCGTGTATTGTGTAAACTAACAAAGGCCCATTGAATCCCTGTGGAACCAGACTGTGGACCATCAACAGACTGATTTAGTCATAGTGGTGACAACACTGCCATTTAGCGGTACTCACCTGAGGGTTCTGACCCACACAGGCCAGCACCTACTACCACAAAACCCATCCACAGCCTCATGCTAGTGCACTAAGACAGGACCTGTGCCTTTTCTGTTTAGCTCCTAGCATCCATATAGCAGACAGTACCAGAACCACACCACACCACAGTAAATTACACCTCCAGGAGAGAAACCGAGGCCCTACCTTTGACTGGACATCCGCGTTGTGGTCATTCTGCAGGAGCAGGGCGGCGGACTTGGTGTCGTCCTTGCGGGCGGCGATGTGCAGGGCGGGCAGCCGGACCTTGCCTTTGGTGTCGTTCTC